GTGACCCCAGGATGCACCCCTCCTCCTGCTGGGCCCCTTACAACCCCGGGAATAAGGAGGGGATGGAGAGAGGGGATAAAGGAGGGAAATTCTCCATCAAAAAAAGATTTGAAGATCTTTTCATTTTGTCAGTTTGGGGGGCAATGGTTATAGGGACTCTCCCCTCAATCCATCTGTCAGCGGCAGCAAAGGAGGAGGGAGCAGGGGACCCCCAATTCTAAAGCTTCTGGATATGAGAGGGGTCACCCTCCCTTCTCCCCCTGAAGGGGTCCAGCTCCTTCCTCCAGAATTAGGGGCTCACAGAACCTTCATTCCACATCCACCCACCTCCGATTAATAAGAAGATCTGTCTCACCTCTGTTACGGATAGGTCAACTCTCCGATGCACTGGGGAGGGAACGGTGAGCCCCCCCCAGAAAAACCCTTGTGGCTCCCAGTTCTCACTGCTCCCCCTCCCCCAGCAGCGAGGGACCCAGGCGTCCGACCTGGTTGGGAGGTGGAGATGAGGAGGCGTATGGGGAATGGGGGTGTTGGGGGGGGAGGGGAGGCCGAGGGGAGCTCTGAGCTCTGGCCCCAAGGGAGTGGGGGTCGGGATGGGAAAAAAAAAAAAGGTGAGGAGACAATTTGGTTCTCGAGATGGGGGAGAGAAAAATGGGGGAGAGGGGAGATAGGGAGAGAGAAGGGGAGATGGAGAGTGAGAGATGGGGAGGAGGGGAGATGGGGGAGAGAGATGGGAGGAAGGAAGATGAAGAAGAGATGGGGAGATGAGGAGAGAGAGATGGGGAGGAGGGGAGATGGAGAGAGAGATGGGGAGGGGAGATGAGGGTGAGAGAGATGGAGGAGAGAGGAGATAGGGAGAGAGAAGGGGAGATGGAGGGAGAGAGAGACAGGGAGGAGGGGAGATGGGGGAGAGAGAGATGGGGAGGAGGGGAGATGGGGAGAGAGAGAGCAGGGAGGAGGGGAGATGGGGGAGAGAGAGATGGGGAGGAGGGGAGATAGGGAGAGAGAAGGGGAGATGGAGGGAGAGAGAGACAGGGAGGAGGGGAGATGGGGAGAGAGAGATGGGGAGGAGGGGAGATGGGGAGAGAGAGACGGGAGGAGGGGAGATGGGGAGAGAGAGATGGGGAGGAGGGGAGATGGGGGAGAGAGAGACAGGGAGGAGGGGAGATAGGGAGAGAGAAGGGGAGATGGAGAGAGAAATGGGAGGAGGGGAGATGGAGGGAGGAAGGATGAGGAGAGAAGAGGCCAAAGCTAGGTGAGTCACAGAGAGAGAGAGGAAAAGTCTAAGATGTGGAAGGTGATCCAGAGAGGAAAGAAAAAGAGACAGGAGAGAGACTGACACAAAGATGCACAAATGAGAAGAGAGAAGTCTCAGAGATACAAAAAATATCCACATACACAGAGATGGAGGGATGGAACCTCAGAAAAAGATCCAGGGATATGCCCAGAGGAAATGTGGCAACTTAGAAGCAAGTATCGTGTACAGGAATGATCCATTTCATTTGTTCATCTCCAGTGTTCGAGAAATATTTAGTGAGTGCCAATCCCTTCTAGATTATATCAAGGCCCGAGGCATGTGGTGGTTAACAGACCGTCAAGGTCTTGCTCTCCTGGAACTCACAGGAGAGACAAACAAGAAATATTAAGAGAATTCCAGTTATGGAGAAGTGCTTTAAAAACTAAGGATGTGGTGACAGTGGTGGGGGGGGTGGGGGGGGAGTGGGCAGGACAGACTCTAGATGACTCCAGAAGACCTGGCTGCAGAGGTAACCTTTGAGCAGAGATGCGGGTTATGAGAAGGAAAGGGACGGGCCACCAAAAGCAGCACAAAAGCCCTGAGGAGTCACAGGTTTGCAAGGAGGCTCCACGGCGGGCAGGTTAACAAGGGTGAGCACATCAGGGTGAAGTCAGAAGCGAAGGCTGGGGACAGCTCATGTAGGGCCTTGTAGCCCTGGGAAGAAATTTGAATTTTATTCTAGATTCCAAGGGAAGCCCTTGGAGGGTGTGAGCACAGGCATGACATGATCATATTTTTATTTGAAAACAAAACAAGAGAATCCCATTGCCGTGCCGAGAATAGATTTAGGAGTGAAAAGTGGAAGTAAGGAGGTAGGGGCTGTTGTCCTTGTCTAGTTGAGGCTGAGGGTGGCCTGGACCAACGTGGAAGCTGTGAGGATGGAGAGAAATGGAAGAACAAGGCATGAGATTTTGGAGGCAGAGCCCAGAGTGGTGGTGAACTGGATGTAGCAGGAGACGGAATGCGAAACCAAAGTGAGAGAAAGAGGAATTCTTTATTTGGGCATGCATGACTTGAGCGGGTGCTGATGTGTGTTGCCTGGAAGAAGGCCACCAGGGAAGGAATCAGGATTTGAGTGGGAAGGTTCAAGCATCCTCCTCTGGACATGTCAAGGTGGGGATGCTTGTGAGAAACCCAAGTCGGGGTATCAGGTAACCAGAGGGATACGTGAGACTGGAGCTTGGGGAAGAGGTCATGGCTGGAAATACAGCATATAGGAGACATTTAAAGCCACTGGACTGGATGAGGTGAGTGTGGACAGAGAAGGGACCCCGGCCAGAGCCTCAGGGGGCATCTGCATCAGAGAGAGGAGAGGAGGTAGTGAAGGGGGCAAAGGGTGACCATGAGGTGGGCGGAGACCAGGAGCAAAGGGCCAGTGGTGCCAAACCTGCTGAGAACTGAGAAAGAACCAAAGACTATTGGGTTTGACCCTGATGGGAGGTCACTGCAGTGCAATGGTGGGGACAGGAGCCCTGCTGCATGGGAGGAAGAAAGAATGTGGGAGGGTGGAAGGAAAAGGAGACCAGGCCATCCTTTTGATATGAAAGTGACAAGAACTTTCATACCAAAGAGAGTTCTTACCCTTTCTGTGAAAGGAGAGAAAGGGAGACTGTCAGACAGGGAGATGGAAGCCAGAAAAATACACTCTGATGTGAGGGAGCTGTTACAGCAGGCGAGATTGAGAAAGATGGGAGGCCCAGGGCCAGGAGGGGAGGGTGGATTCCAGGGGGGCAGGGCAGAGGTGCTGTAGGAGCGTGTGTGTGTCTGATCGCTAGGAACCAAGGCACTGCTGGACCGGACCCAAGGCTGCTTTGCCCAGCTCCCATCTCATGCTGCTGCCAGCGCCTCGCATACTCTCGGATTCCCCTCTGGATCCTGCCCGAGGCCTGGAAAGACCCAGTGAAGAGAAGGGCAAGAACAGATTTCACTCATTCATTTAAGAACTATTGCCTGAGGCCTTCCAGGCGCCAGGGCCTGACATCTGAGAGCTGCCTTGGTCAGGAGACAGGAAGGGCAGCCAATTAGAATTCGAAGGGATGTTTGCTCTGATGGGGGCATTGAGGAAAGGCAGCGGGCACCATCCTAGCTTGGGAGGGGATGTCTGTGTGTCACCATCTCACTTCATCCATTCATTCGGTTGCTCATTCATTCATTCATTCTTCATGTCACCTAATGCACATTTCCTAAGGTCTCCTGTGTACACGGCTCTGGGCTGGGTGGTACTGGGGTATACTGGGGACACTGAGCTGAGACCCTCGTGTACCTGGGCCCTGGTGGGAGAGCAGGAAGCAGACACACAGTCACATCCCAGGGCAATGCATGCTCTAATGGAAGCGGCACAGGGGACGGTGGGCATCCGGAGCAGGGTGGGCAGAGAGCCAGGGTGCACCAGGCCCCGCTGGAGCCACCACCACGGAGAAGGAGTTGGTGAAAGGTGGGTCCCACCTGGGCCATCCGCAGAAGGGCTAAGGGAGGGGAGGAGGGGTGAAGATCTGGCCCCGCTGCCATTCCACACGGCTGTCCCGTCCCTGCCCCTGGGGGAGCTGAAACTGCATGGATGGTCCCCAGGGGTGCCCCGTCTAATAAACTCGATGAAGAGGACTGCGGCTCTGGTTCCCACGCCCCTCACACCCAGCCCTCCCCAAGGAGCTGAGGACCCCAGCATGAATCTGTCCTTTCATCCTTCAAGGCCCGGGGATCTGGGCCCCAGTCTTCTCTTCCCTCAGACCCAGGAGTCTGTGTCCCCGGATCGCTCCTCCGGATTCCCTGTCTCCAGTCCCCTCCACTCTGAGGCCCAGGAAGTGAGTCCCTGGGCTCCTCCTCACGCAGACCCGGGAGTCCAGGCCCCCAGCCCCTCCTCCCTCAGACCCAAGGGTCGGACTCCAAGCCCCTCCTCCCGCAGACCCTCCTGCCTCAGATCCCGGAGCCCGGATCCCAGCCCCCTCCTCCCTCAGACCTGGGAGGCCGGGACCCCAGTCTCTCCTCCCTCAGACCCCTCCGGAGGCCGGACCCCCAGCCCCCTCCTCCCTCAGACCTGGGAGGCCGGGACCCCAGTCTCTCCTCCCTCAGACCCCTCCGGAGGCCGGACCCCCAGCCCCCTCCTTCCTCAGGACCCGGGAGTCCAGGCCCCCAGCTCCTTCTCCCTGAGACCCATCAGTGCAGGTTCCCAGCCTGGCCAGCTCCGGACCAAAAGTCCAGGTTCCCTGCCCTGCCCCTCCCCCGCCACCTCGGTGATCCGACCCTCAGTTCACGCCCTTGCCCCTTAAGGAAATAAAAGTCCCCTCAGGCTCCACCCGGGTCAGGACCTGGCCCCCAGCCCCTCCTCCCTGGGGGCCTCCGTCTTCCCCAGCCTTGTCCCCTTAAAATACCCGGATCCCTATGGCAACAGGCGCCAGGCGACAGGTGCGGGTGTTATTTACGGGTCGAGCCCGAAATAGCCCTGGAGGGTGAGGGAGGGCAATGGGGGCGAGGCCGGAGGGAGCGGAGCGGCCGGCCTGGAGACCGAGCGCGGTGGCCGCGGCGTGCAGAAGCCGACGGATTGGAGGCATCGCGGAGCTGGGGTCGGCGCGGCGCCGAGGCAGGAGAGCGAGAGGGGTCCCTGCCCAGGAGACCGGGGTGGGAGGCCTGAGGGAGGCGCCGGGGCTGGCGCTGAGCCTGGAGCCTTCCCGGCCTGGCAGGCCCTGGGAGCCCGGGGAGGGGAGCCCAGTGATCTCCAGGGACACAGAGTCTCTTCTGGGTCCCAGTTGTCCTTTGATTCCTGGGGGGACTTTGTCCCCATTTCCTGAGCCGCAGTGCGGACCACAGCCCCTTCATCTGAGCCCCACTGGGGACCCCAGGTCCCCCTCCTGAGCCCTGGGGGCTTCCCTCAGCCCCCTTCTCTGAACGCCACTTGTCTCTCAGCCTTCACAGACTCTGAGCCCAAAAGAAGCCAGAAGGCGTCTCCTCTCAAACACACAGAGGACCTCAGCTCCCCGTCCTGGCACCCCAAACTCTGAGTCCTAGTGGGGAGCTCAGATCCCTTCCTTCAGGAAACCTGGTTTCCCTTTGGCGATTCCTTCCAGTGGGCATCCCAGAGCAGCCCGGGCCTCAGAGGTCCAGCTGCCACTCAGTTCTCCTTCCTCTGGAGCCTCCAGACCCCTGGCCTGGGCACCCAGGTTCTAGTTCTGAGCCTCGAGGGGACCACAGCTTTCCTGTGGGTCCCATCTTCTTTGCTGAGTTTCTGTGGGTACCCCAGGCCCTCCTCTGAACCTCAGAGGGTTCCCCAGCCAGAAGATCTAGTTTTTTCTCTTCCAAGCCCCAGAGGCAACCTTGACACCCCCATTTGAGGTTCTAGGGACGATTCAGATCTTCCCTCTCAATATTCCAGTGGAAACTGAGCCCCTCACCCCCTTCCAGACCCCAGGCGCTTCCCTCCCCACCCCAGGAGCCCTCCTCGGCTCTGCCTCCTTTGCACCTGAGCCCCGTCACTGGCTGTAAAGATGATGATGTGGTCCAACTTCTTCATGCAAGAGGAGGACCGGCGGCGAGCGGCCGCGGGCCGGCGACGGGCTCAAGCACAGCACAAGTCCTGGCTGACCCCAGAGCAGGAGGGGAAGATCAAGCTGGTGCTGCTGCTGACCACCGTGGGTGCCACGCTGGCCGTGCTGGCCGTGGGCACCGAGTTCTGGGTGGAACTCAACACCTACAAGGTCAACGGCAGTGCCGTCTGCGACGCTGCCCACCTGGGGCTGTGGAAGATGTGCACCAAGCGACTGTGGCAGGCCGACGTGCCCGCGGGCAGAGAGACCTGTGGCCCGCAGAGCTGCCCGGAGGTGAGAGGCCACTGCCCCAGTGCAGGGCTTGTACCCCACAGACAGTGAGAGAGGCCCACGTCTGAGAAAACTGAGCCCTAGAAACAGCCTGTGCCCCAGAAAGTGCCTGAGCCCCAAGGACAGAGCTTGCATCCTCAAAAGAGCCCATGCCCACATCAACCTGTGCTCCTGAGTGACTTTTGTCCCAGGCAGAAACTGTGTGGAGAAAGAGAGAAAGCCTGTACCCCTAGCCTAGCCCATACTTCTAGCCCAGCCTGTGCCCCAAGACCAACCTGTACCCCTAGACCAGCCTGTGCCCCCAGACCATCCTATGACCTCCAAAGTTCCTGGAACCCCAACACAGCCTGTGACCTCAGACATTTCTGTGTCCCCAGACCAGGCTGTACCCCCAGAGAGAGCCCATGTTCCTAGAGAAAATTTGTGCATCCTCCCACAGTCTGTGCCCCGAGACCCAGCCTGTGACTCCAGACACAGCTGGTGCCCTTAGACCGCCTGAGTCCCCCTCAAACACCTGTCCCTGCCCGAGTCAGCCTGTGCCCCCTGTGCATGCCCACAGACAGCCTGTGCCCATGTGTGCATGCCCACAGACAGCCTGTGCCCCCGTGTGCATGCCCACAGACAGCCTGTGCCCCCGTGTGCATGCCCACAGACAGCCTGTGCCCCCGTGTGCATGCCCACAGACAGCCTGTGCCCCCGTGTGCATGCCCACAGACAGCCTGTGCCCCGTGTGCATGCCCACAGACAGCCTGTGCCCCCGTGTGCATGCCCACAGACAGCCTTTGCCCCCTGTGCGCATGCCCAAATACAGCCTGTGCCCCTGTGCAGATGCAGTCCGTGCCTCCATGTGCATGTCCACAGACAGTGTGTGTCTCCGTGTGCATGTCCACAGACAGCCTGTGCCCTTTGTGTGCATGTCCACAGACAGCCTGTGCCTCCGTGCGCATGCCCACAGACAACCTGTGCCCCTATGCACAAGCACAGCCAGCCTGTTCCCACCTACTGATTCTGCCAAATGAAGCTCCCTTCAAGCACTTCCCCACGTCCCAGGGCAGACCTCGTGCTTTCCGGGAAATGTTCTTCTTCATTTCCTGTCCCTCTCACCGATGAATGCCCACACTGATGCTCCAGCCCTTCTCATTTTCTCTTAGACACCCCACATGCCTCACCTTCCCAGAGAGTGGCTGTTTCACCCCTAGCTATGCCAGAGAGCTATCCTATACCTCTCACTCTCCCTGACAGGGCACACCATGCCCTTTGGGACATACCAGTGGGATATCCTATACCCCTTGGGAACGGGAAAGGGATCTCACTCCACCTCTACTGACCCAAGGGAACTATCTGACACCCCTCAGGGCCCTTCAGGTTGTCTTAAGCTTGATCACCCATATGAAATCTCCAACACTCTTTACTCTCCAAAGGATATCCTACAATCTCAGTATCCCCCTGGGCTCCAGATGGGATTTCCCTGCTTCGTTTCTCCGGATGTGATTCTTATATCCATAGGGTCCAAAGTAGGATGTCCCAAGCCCTCAACAGCAAAGTGGGATGCCAAGTACTCTTTGTTCTCTGAGGCACCTATCCACTCAGCATCCAGATTACATTTCACTTCTGCAAATGAGCTCGTTCTCATCCCTCAGGACCTCAAGCAAGAGTTCCCAAACTTTTGCAAAGTGGGATACTCCGGTAATAAAAATATCAGGTACTTATGTAGTGCCTGGGTCTGTTTTAAGCATTTCACATACATTAACTCATTAATCTTCATAGCAATCCTACAAATAGTTATTATCTTCCTCATTCTACAAAAGAGGAAAATGAGGAGCAAGAGATGTAAGTGGCTCAGTCTATGCATCCAGGCTAGTCATGTGGGCTTTGAACCCTGGTTATGTCTGTTCTTAGCAACTATGCTATATTGCATCTCACTAGTCCATGAAGGTGTTCCAAAGGTCCTCGCTGCACTGCGGGGATGTCGCGCCCCACCTCACTGGGTAATATGGGGTCTGTCACATTCCTGGAGGTCCCCCTATTGGTCAGAAAGGACTTCAGCTTCTTTACAGGACCATCACCATCATCCCACAATCCCGACCCTTCAGAAGACATTTCCCAATTTTTATTATCTCAGAAATATCCCACTGCCCATCAAAGGACATCCCAAGGGACTGCAAGGGGATGACCCATGTCCTACTCTTTTCCAAATGGGATATACCATATCCTCTGTGGTCAGGGACAAGATGTCCTAAATCATTAGTAGGCAAAATGGGATGCCAGACACCCCACACTCTCCCAGAAAGATGTACCACATCTTCTTACTCTCTAGATGGGACTTCACGTTTCCCTCGTGGATGAAGACGACATTTCCCACACTGACTGCTACAGATAGCATCCTCACCCTTCGCTCTGCTGCATGACGCTTCATTTACTTCTTGCCGCTGCAAGATGGCTGCCCCGGGATAAGGACTCCCACCTTCTGCTGCTCCTAACGGGACATTTCATGCCCTCTCCTTCCCAGACAATACCAGGTGGAGTGTCCCACACCACCTCACCTGACTCAGCAGTTTATCTCTAGTCCCTCCACATCCTGCTTCAATTTGGAAAACTCTTTTTCACTTCCCCAGACTGTCTGGCCCCTCCTCTATTTCTTTCACCCCTCTTATTTTCTTTGTCTCTCCTCCTTTCTGTGCCTCAGTTTCCCCATCTGTAGAATGAGAAAGTTGGACTAGGTGAATTCTGTGGGAAATTCTGGCTTTAAAATGCAGTTTAGAAGTGCTTTTTAAATATTTTTTAGTTCAGGATTTCTTGGACCTCACGTACACAAAGTTGGACGAATCATACCCTTCAGTTTATCTGTCTTATCTCTTCTTGTCTCTGACCCCAGCCTTTGCAAGATCCTTCTTGTGCTTTATTTTACATTATTATTCTTTTTTTTATTCCTTCCTAACTCATCTCTTTAATGTGCTTGATATGCCTCCATGAATATGTATTTTAACTCGGAAAATATGTAGTGTTACTTTATATATATGTGTGTTGTTAATTTACATAAATGACATCATGCTATAGATTTTTCCTTGTTTTTGATTTTTTTTGATTTTTAAAACATTTTTTTTTGCTCAGTACTGTGTTTCTCAAATCTTGCTGTGCTGCTTTCTGTTATTCTAATTTGTGGCTATCATGTACTGCAGAGATTTGCACAGGGAGCATCCATCACATCTACTTGTCT